ATTGAAGAAGAAAAACTAAAATCTCTCCATTCTTGAGAAATCAGATGATCTTTCAAGGTGATCTGTAATCAGAACATTTTAATTAAAGGAAAAAAAACCATCATTTCGGCCTATTAGAGTTTGCCAGTTCTAGTTAGTCACTGAGTTTGTCCCAGTTTCCTATACCCTAATTTTAGCTACCTACTAGTTTATGTAATGGTGTTGAGGTTAGAGGATGTGATTTTTTAATTCCATAAGGCTATAATGGCTTTGTCCCTAAATAACTGAAAAGTTACATGAACTAGATAGGAAGCCTACTGATTTTAGAAAAATCTTAGGATATGTTAGAACACCCTCCAGTCCATATGAGTTAGCACCATCACAAAATATTTCTGGAAGGTAAATTTTATACTGACAAAAGACTAGTGGTGGGTCCTTTGCCTTCAGTCTCTAGTAACACATTTAAGTTTTTGCCTTAACATGAATGTAATAATTTTTTGTAAATGTCATAGAACAAAGGAAATGTTTTTTCAGTGATTATAATGTTTCTCAGTGCAACATGGAAGGGGAAATTTAAACAGTTTTTACTCCTGAGTCTATTTTGGAGGTGTAGATTGTTCTGGAGTCTTTCAGAAAAACATGATAGACTTTGTAATTCATTTTATAAAGCACTCCATGAAGATTATTTTTTCTTTTTTCCAGTATTGGGGATCAAACTCAGGACCTTGTGCTTGCAAGGCAGGTGTGGTGCCACTGAGCTAAATCCCCAACCCTAAGAATTTTTTTTTCTTTTTTGGTGCCAGGGATCAAACTCAGGACCTTCCGCTTGTGAGGTAAGCGACAGAACCACTGAGCTAAATCCCCAGCCCAAGAATTTTTTTTTTTTTTTTTACCAGTGCCTTAAGAGTTTTATGACCTGCTTTTAGGCCCTTTTATGATCTGAGGCTCTGCTTCTTTTTTTTTTTTTCTGCTTCTTATAAAAAAATTTTTTTTTTTTTTTTGCAACCTTAAAATTCCATGTTTATTACAAAGGCCAACGCCAGTTCTTATGATGAGTTTATCGGTAGGATTTCTGGTAATGACCACGGGCACCAGGGCCTCCAAACTTTTTGGATTCACAGCGACGGGGGTCAGCTACCAGCAGGGTCCGGTCATACTGGATGAGAATATCTTTGATCTCCTTCTTGGAAGCCTCATCTACATATTTCTGATAATAGACCACCAGGGCTTTGGAGATGGACTGACGGATAGCGTAAATCTGGGCCACATGACCACCACCCTTCACACGGACGCGGATGTCAACACCAGCAAACCGCACCTTCCCCAGAAGGAGAACAGGCTCCAGTAACTTGTATTGCAGCGTGTGTGTGGCTCAGTCATCTCCAGGGGACGCCCGTTCACTTTGATGAGGCCATTGCCCCATTTGGAGTGTGCCATGGCTGTGGCCATCTCCTTGCGACCGAAGACTTGCACGGACTGCAGCGGGCCCTTAGATGGCATGGTTGCTAAAGTAGACTAGAGCTCAACACCGCGTGGCGCCACAATCGGAAAAGGCTAAACAAATTTTTTTGAAGGACATTTTATTAAATATCTTAGGAGAAAATAAAAAGATCGTAATCTGTTCTTCCAGGAAATAAGGTAGTTGGACAAATGTGTAACAGATTTTGTAAACCCTGTTAAATTGAGTTGCTTGCCCTAGGCTGGTGCCCTGGTCTCTTTCCTTGCCTGAGCGTGGAGATGATGAAATCTGTGATGACTGGTACTATAGCTAGATGCTTATTCTCTGCTGTCCTTAACTGTTTCGCTTACATTTAAATATTTCTAGCAATCTATAATTCTTACCTTCTCCCTTAAGAATTAAACTAGTGCAGTGATCAAATCTAGAAACTCATTTTACCCCTTAGAGAAATTCTGTTTCTTTGAGTTGAAGTTGTTTGTTTGTTTGTTTGTTTGTTTTTTAAAATTCTATATTGTCTGCAACTTTATAGGAGTCAAATCCAAGTTAAGGTTTTCACATCAGCTCGGAAGATGAAAATCTGTTATACCTGCAATATAAAACTTCCTCTTTATGTTAAGAGTTGTCACTATGGTTTAGGGGACTGCAGAGTAGGGAAGAGAATATCGGGGTGGGTGAAGTGATTATTCTAAAGAAAGGAGTAGCACAACACATTACTTTGGGATTTGATTAGTTTATTTATTTTTTGGTCTTTTGAGACAGGGTCTCACATGTAGTTCAAGCTGGCCTTGAACTCACTATGTAGTCCAGGCTGGCCTCGAACTCATGGCAGTCCTCCTGCCTCAACTTCCCAAGTGCTGGGATTACATTCTTGCACTACCATACTGGGCTTTCAAGAAGTCCTTTTTTCATGCTGTTTCTTTTAGTTGATTACTCAGAAAAAGTATCCAATGATCAGAAGTCCTTTATGAATGTTCAGAACTACATTTTCCCTTGAAGATTGTTTAGCTATTGCTGACTTCAGGGTCTTTACCTTGTGGCTGCCTGCTAATCTCTCTGAAGTGGAGAAAGCAGAATGAATAGTGCTGTGTTCCGCTTGAGAGCACTCTTCAGCTCTCAGATTTGTACTGATCCAAAAAAATCCAAGGATTCTGTTAGTTTTCTTTGCTTTTGTGCATTCCACCTGAGGCCTTCATATTTGCTGTCTCTTCTATCCCAAATGTCTTTACCCCTGTTCTTCCCTCAAATGAGATTGATCCTTTAGGACTCAGGTTATATGTTACCCCCTCCAAGATGCACTGTGATCCTCTGTGATCCCATGACCCTGTGTATATCTCAAGTACTGTAGTCTGCCATTGGCATTGCAATGAAGCTGTCTCATTTCTTTCTTTCTTTAGCTTCATTTTGGTATAATGAACAGAAACTGTGTATATTCAAGGTATACAATATGTTTTTGTATACTTTGTGAAGTGATTGCTATAATCACGTTAATTAATGTATTCCATCACCTCATATAAATAGCAGATATATGAAAAGGTGCCCAGCATCACTGATCATCAGAGAAATACAAATCAAAACCAAAATAAATATTTCTTATCCCTCTCCTTATTTAGACATGTATACCCTTTGAAATCAGGAGCTGTTTTATTCATCCTTGTACCCAGTGATCACCACAGATCTAGTTATCTTAAATGCTCAACAAATTAATAAAGAATGTTGGATAGCAGAAAAAAATAGACTGATATTAGCCACTGTTATTAGGTAATTTAGGAGATGTACTGTAACACCATTTTTATTAACACATCCTTTCAAATTTGTCTTGTGATAATTTTCTTTTGTTACAGGTTTTTTCAAAAACATAATGATATAGTTTTATTATTTTTTACCATAGGTGATATATCCCTTTATAGAAAATTAAAAGAAAATATGAACATATAAAGAGGAAATCTCACCACTCAGAATTTAGCTACCATTAAAAAAGTGCTTTTAAATACAATATGAAGTGAAGTCATTGGATATGTAATCCTTTGCAAAATATAATTATAGGCATTTGATAGAGCACTGAAAAAAAATACAGTATGAGCTTAAATGTGTACTGCTCAATTTTCAGGTTTAAAATTTCGCATATAAAAGAATTATTTTTAAAAATAGCATTAAAACACCTAGTTTAGGGCCGGGGATTTAGCTCAGTGGTTTTGCCGCCTGCTGCACAAGCGCAAGGACCTGAGTTCGATCTCCCGTACCAATAAAATTTTTTTTAAAAACCTAGTTTAATATAATGAAGCCAATGATTTTGTTTTGCATTGCAAAGTGGCTTTCTGTCTCAGGTAATGAAGTATGCCTTTCTCAGGCAGAATTTTTTTTTTTTTTTTGGTACCAGGGATCAAACTCGGGACCTTGCGCTTGTAAGGCAGGCACCAGAAACCACTGAGCTAAATCCCCGTCCCAAAGTATGCCTTTCTCTAAAATAGCCATGCACTCTTAGCTTGGGATCCAGTCTGTTAAATTATTATACAACCCTTGCTCTCTGTCATAACCTTCACTTAACATATATATGCCCCTCCATGTGTGCTTTAACCATTCTTTAGTAGTGGAGCAGTTTCGGTTTGGAGACTAAAGCTAAGAATCTACAAGAAAGAAATAATCATTTATGAAAGCCAAGAATGTCTTTTTCCTGGGTATGGTGGTGCCCACCTGTAATACCAGGGCTCAGGAGATTCAGGTAGGAGGTTCACCATGAGTTCAATCTGGTCTACATAGAGAGCTCAAGGCCAGCCTGAGCTACATAGCAAGACCTGTTTCAAAAAACCAAAAAAGAAAAGTCTTTTTTTAGGAAAAACTTTTTAAGACAGGGTTTGGGATTCTAGTACCTGTGGTTTTTTCTGTGTGGCCACGCTATATAATACATTTCATTTGTTTTTTATGGTGCTAGGGATAGAACCCAGGGCTTCACTCATGGTAAACAAATGCTCTACCACTCAGTTATGTCCCAGCCCTAGGAGAAACTTTTTGTTTATTCCCCGTGTCTTGCTCACACCTCCTGTAGCCACTGACATAATTAACATGCAGTTTGCAGGAGCAGATCTTCCAGATATTCTTCAGTATGTGTGCTGCCTTTTTCTTTTCTCTTTATAATCACGTGTCTTCATTCCATTCTCCACTCCCACTCTAGCTTCATCAAGGTTTATTTTTTAGAAGAAATGTGCTTTTATATCTTTTTCCTCTTGTATATTCTCTTGGTAATTGTCCACTTCCATTTTGTGACATGTCTCTTTATAGGGAATGATGCAAGTGTACATTCTATAAAGTGAAGTTTTGCCCCAAAAAACCCAAACTATAAAAAAAAAACCAAAAAAAACCCCAACTATGTAACTGGATAGATTGGGTGGATCAATTTTTGGTATCCTAAGACATCCTATAGTAGCAATAGATTTTAGCCTTCAGTGTGATGTGATAATGGTAACTATTGACTATCTTGTTTAGGTAACAAGTCTTTCTATCTCCCCAGTTCCTATAAGTACCCTTCCTAAATGCTATTTGTTCCCTGTTACTTTTTTTATTTTAGATCACAGATTCTGCTGGCCATATTCTGTACTCCAAGGAAGATGCATCCAAGGGGAAATTTGCCTTTACCACTGAAGATTATGACATGTTTGAAGTGTGTTTTGAGAGCAAAGGTAAGTACTGTAGTCCAAATGTTTTCTCTGGATTAAGCTTCTCTTCTCCAGCTCTCCAATGTTCTGTGCTATAGTTAGCACTTGATTTCCAGTTTCATTTCAATTTGTTTATTCTAATATGGAGTCCTCATGCCATGTAGCCTTTGGAACGTCTTTGAAAAGATTTTCTAGTTAGAGTAAAAGATTGACAAAATAGAGCACAGAGGATTTTTAGGACGATGAAAATACTCTGTGTGATACTGTAGCAGTAGATACACATCATTATACATCTCTCCCAACATCACATCTGGACTGTACACCTAATTTAAGCTCTGGGCTTTGGGGGATAATGTTGGATAAGTGTAGGTTTATCATTTATAACAGATGCTTCTCTAGTAGGAGATGTTGATCATGGTGGTCTATGCATGTGCTGGGGTGAGAAGAATTAGGACATCTCTGTACCTTCCTCTCCAATTTGCTGTTAACCTGAAATTAACAATACTAAATCTGTTTTTTAAAAAAAGATTATCTATTTTCCAGCCAAATGCACAAAGAGATACAGTATTACTGGAAGGGTCTTTTTACAAAAGAGACCTGTTAGGGCCATGATATCAGCTAAGGGATTATGCTGCCTATGTAGTCTGGGCCCAGACCAGCCAGAAGTCTGGTTTTGTGGTTTCATTTGGGCTTGAAAAATGCTAATATTATGCTCTGACAGATAATCAGAAGACTGTTGTTAGGAAGAGAGTGCTGATCATTTGGACTAGGTATGACTGGGAGTTACTTGGATTCCACAACTTTTTAACTGAGGAAGGAAAAACCAAAATTTGCATTACATCTCTGGGTAATGTCATAATCTGGATTACACTTTGGGTTTAGGAAAGATTGTTCTAGTGTCAGGTTTGGTTTGGCTTGGCTTGGTTTGGTTTGGTTTGGTTTGGTTTGGTTTAGTTTTAGAGACTTGTTTAATGTTCAGAAAGCATCTGTGACTTTAGTCTGTTCCTAATCTTAAGTATGTAGTCTTAATTCTCTTCTTTGAAATTGACCTTTCTACCCAAGCACAGTGACAAACACCCGTAATCCCAGTGGGAGGCTGAGCAGGATGATGATCAGAGGAAGTTCAAGGCCTGCCTGGGGTACACAGTGAGTTCAAACCAGCCTGAACAACGTAGAGAGAATCTGTCTCGCAAAGAAAAGAGAAAGAAATTTACCTTTGTAGTCCCCAAAAGAAATTCTTCATTGTTGTTTGGTTTGGTTTGGTTTTTGATCTTTTGAGGCAGGGTCTCTATGTTGTCCAGGCTAGTCTTGAATTCACTGTGCAACCCAGGCTAGCTTTGATCTTGCAGTGATCCTTCTGCCTCAGCCTCTTGAGTGCTAGGCTTATGGGTATGCACCACTGTACCCAGTTCTTTACTGTCTTCAATGCTATACATAGTAAAGCCTTTGCCCATGCTTCGTGTCTGTCTAAAATATTTTGTTCAGGTTCTGCCTTCAACCAGGTATTCCCTCCTTAATGAAGTTAATCCACAATTCATCTCCTTCCTCCTCTTTGCTCCACACCTGGGATGATCTGAGCCAGTTATTTTGGCTTAATTTTACAAGGCTTTCGCTGGGCATAAAGGCACACATCTATAATCCCAACTGCTTTGGAGGCTGAGGCAAGAGTATTTCAAGATAAATTGCTCAGGCTGGGCAATTTAATAGATCCTGTCTCAAAATAAAAAATAAAAAGGGGGTGAGGATATCTCAGTGGTAGAGCACTTGCCCAACATGAGGGAGGCCCTGGGTTTGATCTTTCAGTACCACCAAAAAATTTTTTTTAAATGCTTTGAATTTTCACTATAGCTGTTGTGTGTATGTATGTCTTTGTTTTGTTTTGTTTTGAGACAGGGTCTCATATGTAGCTCATACTGGCCTTACGTTCACAGCAGTCCTCCTACCTCAGCCTCCCATGTGCTCAGATTACAGGCATGCACTACTGTGCCCAGCTATGTATGTCTTAGATCTCATCAAATTATTTGAAGGCCAAGATTCTATCATTTAAAAGACTCCAGAACAGTTCTAGCTTCCAGTGAGTTTTCAATGAGGAGTTTTGTTTATTAGGTGCTAGAACCCAGAGGCTCAGGCTTGCTAGACAAGTGTTCTGCTACTGAGCTATACCACCGGTACCTCTCCCTTTTTAAAAATGTATATACATTTATTGATTGATGGATTGATTCATTGATTGAGACAGTTTTGCTAAGTTGCCTAGGCTGGCTTTGAACCTGCAGTCTTCCTGCCTCAGCCTTTGGAGTAGCTGGGATTGTAGGACCGCACCACCAAGCCTGGCCTTCAATTAATAGTTTTTTAATTGATTTTAGTCCATTTCAGAAAACATCAATGTTTCAGGCAGCAGAGGGTACAGTGCCATTCTCTGGCTTATGTTCTCAAGAATCCATGTGCTTAACTGGTACTATATTCCCCAAAATTTCTAATTTTGTGTGGGCAGTTTTTTGTTTTATAAATAGGTTAAATCCAGTAGTTTTCTAGGGCTCTTTGAGTCTCCCTTTATCCTACTTGGTGACTTAAGATTAGAACTACTTTTTTGTGTATGTGTGGTACTGGTAATCAAACTCAGGACCTTCTGCTTGCGAGGCAGGCAGCAGTACCACTGAGCTAAATCCCCAGCCCACCAGAATTACTTTTGATCAAATTGAATCAGATTAATTTTTCTAATATGAATGTTGCATTGCTGACCCTGTGATCCCAAGTGATATTTTTCTACCAGGTGTGGTGCACCTGTAATCCCAGCACTAGGGAGGCTGAGGCAGTAGGATAGCCACATACATAGTGAGTTCAAGGCCAGCCTGAGCTACATAGCAAAGCCCTATCTCCAAACAAAACAAACACAAACCAAAAAGTCAATTTTTTTTTTTTTTTTTTTTGGTACTGGGGATCGAATTCGGGTCCTTGCACTTCCGCAGCAGGCGGCGAAACCACTGAGCTAAATCCCCGGCCCCTAAATAGTCACTTTTTAAGAAGCATTCCTGAGAATTATACTGTCATTGTAAAATACTTTTTTCCTTGAGCTTTTTTAACTGTTAGAAGATCTTCATGGGAATAGCCCTGTAACATTTTATTGGCCTTTGAAGTAGGCCTTACATTGATCAAAATAATTGAATTAAAGTGGAATAGTTGATAAAAGCTATATTTTTTCCGATACTCAAGTTTATGGTAAGTAAAGTCAAGTTTAGCATATATCCAGTAATCCTAATGAACACGGCCTCTCAGTTTCACAGGGACCTCTCTTCAAATGTAGAAATGTGCATTTCCAGCCTAAATTGGTGCCTGTTCCCTGCTGATCTGTATGACGCTCCATTTCACATGGTTGGGTCTTTGGAGTTTTATTTCTCTGACCAATAAACCTGTGTGTTTTCTCCTCAATTCTGTTTCTCTGTAGTTCAGTTGCAGTATCTCATGTCCTGCCTGCTCAGAGATGTTTGGCAGCAGCATGTTCTTGCTGCTTTCCGGCATCCCACACAGATAGAGGCTTTGTCTGGAATGTTTGTGATTTTAGCCAGAGCCAAGAATTTTCTGCAGCTAAGTAGTGGGAGGAGTTTTGGCTGTTTCCCTCTATCGAGAGGATAGGGTTAGGGAGAGGAAGGGTGGATGGGTGATTTCCCGGAATTTTAAATATTCTACACAATGAATCTTTTGATATCTTTCTCAGGCACAGGGCGGATACCTGACCAACTTGTGATCCTAGACATGAAACATGGAGTAGAGGCGAAGAATTACGAAGAGGTATGTGCTGTTGTGATAGCCAGAGGAGGCAGTAGCGCATGGTGCAGCTCAAGTTTTCTGTGACCTGCTCAGGCCACTGCCTGTGCTTCGCCCAGAGACTGGTTTTCCCAGCAATCACGTGATAACCAGCAATGATCTTATTGATATAAAAAGTTGTTAACAGCCTTGAACAGTAATTCTGGCTGTGCTGTCAGCCAAAGGACTGAACCAGCTGTTCTGTACAAATGTCTGTTGGTGTGATAAAGCCCAAAGCAATATACCTTTAGTTCTCTTAAGGCAGAAACCAGATAGCAACAGTTACACTTTTTAAAAGCTGGGATTCAGTTATGTGTTAACAACCAAGGCTAAGAAAAGTGATTTGTTTTTTAATTCCTAAAATTTCCCCCAGAACTGACAGCTAGGCATAGACTCAGTCCTGTTCAGGTCTGAACAACTGTGGTATCTCTGAGAAACAACAGTATAAACAATAGCTTTTAATTAAAATAATTCCAGACTTTAAAGAAGAGGACAGGATAAAGGAAAAAGCTGTAAGAGACTGGGGATGGTGCTACTGAACAGCGATTGGATGCTGACAAGGAGTATTACAGAGTAATAAAAAATGGCATTTATTTCAGTGACAATGAAGTGGAGCAGTGCATGGGCTAAGGAGAAGGGTGTGCTGGGAATCAAACCCAGAGCCTCACACATGCTGGACAAGTGCTTCACCACTGAGCTACCCCCCAGCCTGAGCATTTTTCATCTCTGTATGACAGACTCTGGGGACAGCACAGAATAGTTTTTCAATTAAATAGCACCGTTGAAAAACCACAAGAACAATTCAGGAGTACAGAATTGATGTTTACAGAAAGATAAAAAGAGTTTTTAACCCAGCCAAACAATATCTGAGGGCATAAGAAGAGGTGGGGTACAGGAAATGTAAACTAAATTAATGAAAGTTGGGGGTTTTTTTGTTTTTTTTTTTTCTTTTTGGTACTGGGGATCGAACTCAGGTTCTTGCACTTGTGGGGCAGGTGGCGGCACCACTGAGCTAAATCCCTGGCCCTGAAAGTTGTTTTTTAAATCACTGAGGAAAATTTTCTTGGGATGATGGACAAGAGAAGTTGCTATGTTTTTGGTCAGGACTTTAGAAGGGAAATATCCTAAAATGGAAGAAGTTTGGAAGTGACTGATTATTTCTGCAGTAGGACGTAGTAATAGAGCAATTACAGCTCTTTAGGTCTTTCCTCTTTTTCCTTGTTCAAGTATTGAATTGAATGAAACCAAATAGAGTTACTTGGAGGTAATAAATAGGAGCAGATGATATAATACTGAATGGAAGACTATTCCTGGTAGAAACTTTGAATTGCTTGTTTCTCCAGGCTAGTTTAGTTGAAAGTACCTACTTTTCTTTTTTCTTTTTCTTTTGTTTTTGGTACCAGGGATCAAACTCGGGACCTTGTGCTTGTGAGGCAGGCAGCAGAGCCACTGAGCTAAATCCCCAGCCCCAAGTTTAGTTGAAAGAAATAAAGCATGACAGCCTCTTTATTTGATAAATTTAAGAGTTTGTTTTTAAACCTTCATGATGAGAAGAATCAGTTATATTTAAATAAGATGATATATGTTAAAGTGCTGTTGTAAGATACAAAACACTAAGAAAAATGTTGTTATATGAGGAGCGAGAATATGACTTCCGTTTTTTGGTTACTACTGCCATTTCCAACCTTCAGCCATTTTCTAAGCAAGCTTTCGTTGTATTCCTACTCTACGAGCTTTACCTGTTTTAAACTTTGTTAGCCAACATGATTGGCTGTCATTAAGGGATATTTATTAAATGACAGGCACCAATGCCCTATTAGACTTGAGACCTGGCTTTTCCTCTCTAAAACAGGTTATATTATTGTAGCTTTACATAAAGAATGATGTGAACACCACTGTCACATATTTTAGACCCCTATGCTTCCTGGAATTTCAGGCTTTGGGAAAGGGGCTTTATCTTTTTTGACCTTCTCCTTAACCCAAGAGGGGAATCCCTAGCAGAAAGGAAACCACATTGCTTCCTTTGCCTGCTTCCTGCTTTGGATGTCTGGCACGTCCTAACCCTTTCTTTACGCACATGGTTACAACACAGCTCTAAGGTTCTGCTTCTTAACTACCACAGACTCCTCCTTGCAACTTTCCTTAATGACCCCACTCCCAGCCCCCAAATAGCTTACCAGACTGAGGCAGAGGAGGATGGGGTGTGACACAAACCAAAGATAGTCCTTTCTCTCCACCCCCATCCACCCCTGGACCAGGAATTGAACTCAGGACCTTGCACTTGCCAGGCAGGAGCAGCACCACTGAAGACAGTCCTTTCTCACTCTGTGGCTGGGCTCCCTTAAACCTTGATTATAAGTAACTGCTAGTTGTCCCTGGCCTAATAATGCGTATGACAAGAACATGGATAATAGAAGCACTGTGTTCCCTGTTTAATTGCTAGAAACTATTGAGCATAAGGCATTTAATTTTAGGCCTTCGAGATAATGGATTTATCCCCAAAGAACTGGACCCTTTGGCATCAGTGTTAAGATCAGAAAGGTAGAACATTTCTTTAACTTTCTTCACTTCCAACACATCTGTCCATTACACATGTGGACTCATAATTCTGAAATCACACATGATCCTGTAAAATTCGGTAGTAATCAGTGTCTTAATATCTGGGCAGAGTACCACATTACCTATCTAAAATGATAGAGTATTTAGTTATGTGAAATTGCTATATAAACACAATACAAATATGAGCTATTATTTGGAAGACGAAATGCTTGCCATATTATAGAGAAGTATAAAACTTGTAGTTTGAATTCTTAAAGGAGGAAGAATGCTAATGCCCTGAAAAATTTTTGATTCCATGTGTTGTGTTCTAAGGACTTCTGATCATTTTCTTGCTTTTGCTCTTCAGAAAGATTCATCTTCTGATTGAATATGTGAATCAATCCATTTTGTCTTACTTTGACCTCTGGGAACTGGAATAGCTTCTGCAGGGTACAGTTGGGGAAATGGAGGCAGTGACTGTCCCACAGAGGAGGTCTCTGACATGTCCTCTGACTCCTGAGCTGTGTGTGTCCCTTTCTGCTGTGAATGTCAGCATTTTCATAAGTCCTGTTTTGTCTAGGGCTTTGATTAGCCTGTTTTGCTGTCCACAGATACACCAAAACACAGCACTGGAAGCCCCTGCTGAAGACTTTCCCAAAGTTCTTTTTTGCTGAATGCCTTCAGGAGGGAGGAACTCTGCTTCCATACAGTAGATCCAGAATCCCTTTCTTGACATAAGTTCAGTGAAAGAACATGAGTAAGGCACCTAACACCTAGCTGGTCAGTTCAGTGGATTTGGATTCCTTTTCTTCTACCCATTGTGAAAACGACGAAATGTCCATGACAGAATAAACAGGGTCTTTTTAATTTTTCTGTGGCCCTAAGCTTGGCAGTATTATCTTGGCTTACATTGCCCCCACCCTGGCATTTTGAACTTCTGTGACTAGACCTATGATTCATGTGACCCCTCTATTGCCAGGAGCAAATGGATTTGTCTTTGGATGTCTTTCTGTTGTCTTTACCCTGATGGTGTTAGACTAGATGGTCTTTACATTTCTTTCTGTGCCTTTGGAGTTCATGGAGGCCATGGTGGGGAATATGGAGGCAGTAAATTAATTTAACTGAATTTGGCTTGCTTTGAGAATTTTCTTATGTTTTTTGTTTGTTTGCTTGCTTTTGTAGTAGAAGATTGAACCCAGGGCCTTTGCATTGAGATATATCCCCAGATGGTTTTGTTTTTTTTCTTTTTGAGACAGCATCTTACTAAGTAGTTCAGGCTGACCTTGCGCTCACTATGTAGCCCAGGCTGGCCTCAAACTCACAGTGATCCTCCTGCCTCAGCCTCCAGAGTGTTGGGATTGCAGGTGTGCACCACTACACTTAGCTCTAAATTTTTATTTTTCTTGGTACATGTTTGTAGTACATAATGATTACATGCCCTGTGGGGAGGTGGCACATGTGCATATTACATCTTAATTCTTTTTTTCATCCCCTTCCCCTCCCCTCCTTCCCCCCTTGTGTTTTATTTTGAAACTAGGTCTCAGTAAATTGCCTGGCTGAGCTCAAACTTGCAATCCTCCTGCCTCAGCCTCCCAGAATTATAGGCATGTGCCATCACACCGGGCCTCTCATGGATCTTGAGGCTCCATCAAGGAAGAGAATAGAGATTCTCTAGAAGATGGATTCTCACCTGTGTTTTAGGAAGCAGTTGTTTTAGAGTTCATACCTTTCCTTGGTAGTTACGTGTAACTGAATTCTTTGAATCATCATTAGAGTGGTAGATTTGGATATGGTTTAGGAAAAGTTTGATCTGCTATTTTTCAGGTGTTGTGCAGGATTTTTCCAAGCAGTTCTGACATGTGAGTGATAGGTATTGTGGTGGAAAGGGATTTCTCCTGGGTGGTGGGCCTCATGCAGATGAGTATCGAGTGAAAACAAATGTGCTCTTAGCATGGAGGGAGCACTTGCTTTAGGAGGCCAGCAGCACTTACTACTATGAGAAGCTTGTCTTCTTTGAAAATAATGTGAACAAGTCAGTTATAATTGTAGCAGTTTGTTAATATGACAGCAGATGATTGTTAATTGTGTGACACAATTTAAGTGTCGTAAGGCTGTAGGGAAGAGGGAATCAAAATGGGTAGGAATTGTTGAAGGTCCTTCATGGTTATGTCCAGAAAGAGGATTGGGTGCAGGGAGTGTGTATGCTTCTTGAAGGCAGGGATTCTAGTGTTTTACAGCAGAGTTTTGCAGTTTTGATGAAAGCTTTGGTCATCCTGGATCAGAAGCTAAGAGACCAGGGTGCTGCTGATCTTGGTCTGCCATCTAAAGGACTGAATAATGGTATGGAATCTTGAGTTTCCTCTTTGTAGAATGAGGAGCACATTCCAAAATGAAGCCCCTTGTAGCTCTAACATTCTTTGGTTATTAGTGACTGCAACTAGCAAGAGTAGTGCCGCCTCCTAGTGGAGGACCTGTGGTACATACCATCATATGTCCTGCTTTTATCAAGCAGTTTGCAAATGGGCCTCATGCTTCCAGTGGAAGAAAGTAGGCGGCTAGGAAAATACCAGCCCGTCTCTGTGAAACGTGTAATTTGGTGTTCTTTACAGACACTCTGAGCATTCAATCAAATCCTTAGAAGAGCATAATAACCGTTAGTGGAGATTTTGATATTAAGGTTTTCTTTAACTTTTTGTACTGACTACAATATAAAGTCTTGATATACATTGACTGCTTAGTCCTGGGCAGTTGAAGAGTCTTCATGAGAATACTTCACAGAATTTGTTTAAAAATTTTGCCCAATTCCCTTTAAAAATGAGAACATACTTTGGGAAAACTAGGAAGTTTATCCTTGTACACTAGTATAATTTGTTTGAATCACTTCTGATTCAGGAAAATCTTAGTATAGTAATCTGATTTGTTTTTCTTTCTTTCTTTTTAAATTTTGAGATAGAGTCTCGCTAAGTCTTCCTACCTCAGCCTCCCAATGTGCTGGAATTATAGTTGCACCACCATGCCTGGCATCATCAAATTTCTAGTACCTGCCAAATGAAATATATACTCAGATAGACTTGGGTTTCAGTCCCAGCTCTACCATATTCTGAGACCTTGGAAAGTTATTTAACATTCTGAGCCATAATTTCATCATCTGAAAACCTTAAAGATAATATGACTTATTTTCTAGGGTTTGGAGTTGAATGAAATTGTTATTTTGATTTCCAGATTTAGGTTAAACATAGACTTACAGCCATGACTGTTATTTATCACTGAGTATTCATAACATGTTAAATGGTTGTAATGGCAAGTTAGTTTTCAGTCTTGTTTAGTCCCTCAGGGTTTCTTTTTAAGTTTTCTAGATTTTAAATTAATATCAAGAGCAAAGCAGTTATTGGGCAAAAATCCTTTTTAGGAAATAAGACCTTCATCCCACTAATAAAAGTCTGAAAATAACTTCCTGAAGGAAGGATGGGATTCAGTATAGATTTTATTTATTTATTTATTTTTTGGTGTTTTGAGACAAGGTCTCACTCTGTAATTCAGGCTTGCCTTGAACTCACTATGTAGCTTAGGCTGGCATTGAGCTCACTGCAATCCTCCTGCCTCAGCCTCCCAAGTGCTGGGATTGCAGACATCAGCCACCACGCCTGGCCAGTATAGATTTTATAGAGGCAATGAAATTGACTTGAAAGATGGGAATTCAACTGTTTGGTTATAAATAGAAGTATGCAGTCCAGAGTAACCTATGCTAGAAGAGGGTTGGGGTTAGAATGATTAAGTAGACAGTGTGGGATGCTAATGATATGAAATACCATGCAACATTAATGTGACTCCTCAAGCATTGGTGTTTTTGGAAATATCTTATTAAGTGAAAAGAAATAAGCCATGGAATAATGTATAGTAAAGTCCCATTTATAAATATATTTTAAATTCTATTTTTCGTATATACTTACATATAAAAGCTTGAATAGTAGGTATCTTTTAATAAGGTCTGGAAATATATATACCAAGTTCGTAACCATAGTTACCTGTGAAAGGGAAGGTGGGATTTGGGAACTGAGGAACTATGAAGGTAGACTTTTGGTTTTTATTCTTTTTGCTTCTGAATAGTTAAATGTTTTAGCAGGAAAATATACTTATGCTTAAACAACTAAAAAATAAATAGTGGAAAAGTATTGGGAATGAGTGTTTTGGACAGTAATCTACAAAGTCCATCTTCAGTTGCACTTTTAATTCCATCTTGCTTTTTAGCCAAAAAAATTAATTTTATAAAATAAAAATGTACTTAATATAAATATCTCCCTTCCCACAGCTGGCAGAGGCACAGACATAGTTTCATTTCCAGTTCCTTTTCCAAGTTTCTATTTCTATTTAAGGAGTCTTAAATGCTTTATGTCTAAGAAGTTTCATGCCATTGATTTTATACTATCTCATTCAGGAAGTTTTGGAGGAGGAAGTAAGAGCAGGAGGGAAGAAGTTAAATAGACTAAGGTTCAGCTTGTTATGTATCTCTTATATTGGTATCTTTTCCTTGAGGAACTTTTTTCTCTTCAGCTCTGTATGAAATCAGGCAACCAATATAGACTCTAGCTTAATGGTGAACCTGGCATTTGAGCACTCAGCTAGGAAAGTTAGTTTTAGTGCATTCACCATTGATGCAATTGTTCACCCAAACAAACTGCTCTGCAGCTGCCAGCCCCATTAACTCTAGCCAACATTGTACAGATGTAAGAAATGTATATCTAGTGAAAGAAAAGTTAGGTGTCTTATCATAAATCCTTCACAACTTTTTTGTTTGTATGTTTTTGTGGTGCTGGAGGTTGAACCTAGGGCCTTGCAGATGACAGGCAAGCATTCTACCACTGAGCTACACCTCCAGGAGCCCATCACATTTTTTATGTATTTTATATACTCAATTTTTATATCCCTAGCTTGATAGATATTTCTAGTTTAATATTAAGTAGTATTTGTCTTGTTCTTCACATCCTGTATAGAAGATACATAAGCAAAAAGAACAGAGAAGACACCCTGAAACCTTTCCCACTTATCCCATGTTAACTACTGTAACAGTTAGTAGAAAGAACAAGGACAGTGAATTGGACAAAAGAGATGAGAAAATTCTATGGAGAATGTACAATAAATAGGGAATGAATAAGCAGATACAGAGGCAGAATTATTGAAGAATTCCCTGTGTGGAAAAAAAGAGCCACAGGTATGTAAGAGTTTTCAGATCAGAAAAGCTCTTTTAGTTCATCTCATTTTAAAGCAAATCATGAGCTGAGCACAGCACACATCTATAGTCTCAGCTATTTGGAAGGCTTGCTTGACCCCAGGACTTAAGGGCCAGCCTGGACAACGTAGCAAGACCTGTGTAGAAGGGGTAGGGCAGGATTAGAGGCACCATGCCTGCCTTCACAGTTACTATATTAATAAAATTATTTGACATGAGTGGAAGGGCAAAGCAAAGTGTTTTATTAAAGCCAGAAATGGCCGGGTGTGGTGGCACACACCTGTAATCCCAGTATTTGGGAGGCTGAGACAAGAGGATCGCTCTGAGTTCAAGACCAGCCTGGGCTACATAGTGAGGTTCAAGGCCAGCTGGAATTACAGAACAAGACCCTGTCTCCAAAAAATAAACCAAAAAAACCCTAGTCAGGCCAGAAGTCTAGGGAAAACAATATTATCTTACTTTACAGCTTTCAGTATTATAATATTTCTAAAGAGGTTTAAGTAAAAATTAAAGTATTAAAAAAGTCTGAAATGGAAAGATATAGTTTGTAGGGAAAGGTAGAAGGCCAACTTTTAAAATACATTAGGATGATTAACAGCAGAGAATTTAAATCTAGTAAACTTCTAAAAAGACTTCTCTGTTGTCTTCTGTTTTTTTTGTTTTTGTTTTTGTTTTGGTACTCGTGGTCAAACTCGGGTCCTTGCACTTGCGCAACAGGCGGCAAAACTACTGAGCTAAATCCCCACCCCTTGTTTTGGTGTTTTGAGGCAGAGTCTCACTATGTAGTTCAGGCTGCCCTTGAACTCATTATGTAGGCCTGACTGGACTCAAACTCATGGCAATCTTCCTGCCTCCCCTCTCAAATGCTGGGATTACAGACTTTGCAGCACCACGCTCAGCTCTGTTTCCTTATGTTTATGACAGGAACAGTTTTTTCTGAAAGTGGATTCCTACTCCTTTCTTTTCCAGATTGCAAAAGTGGAGAAGCTCAAACCACTAGAAGTGGAGCTACGACGCCTAGAAGACCTTTCTGAGTCCATTGTTAACGATTTTGCCTACATGAAGAAGAGAGAGGAGGAGATGCGTGATACCAATGGTGAGAGGAAAGCAGTTCTTCTTTATAAATAAGTGACCCAGAAAGGAGACAGAGTTCCCAAACATGAAATTATGGGAGTAATCTTTTCTCAGTTTTGCACATGTGGAGTATATAGAAGGAAAATCGTTTGCTTCAGTATTATTGCTGCTAAAATATAAATTGTTAGACTTTAAGGAGAATGGAGTTTTGTTCTGTGATATGCAGTTGGCATATTGACAGTTGGCTTATAGTATATCAAGTTGATAGCACTAATCTTTGTAATTTTTAACATTTATAAATAGAATTGATTTATTGATTGTCCGAAACCCTCCTATCAGACCTAGAGTTAATTAATTGCCTTTTCCCCAGGCCATTGTCTAGCCAGCTGCAGAGGCTTGACTTCATTACCTTTACAATGTTTTTGTTTTTTAGAGTCAACAAACACCCGGGTCCTGTATTTCAGCATCTTTTCAATGTTCTGCCTTATCGGACTAGCCACTTGGCAGGTCTTCTACCTGCGTCGCTTCTTCAAGGCCAAGAAGTTGATTGAGTAATGAGGCTCAGTCAGTCCCCTCCCCACTGGAATCCCAGCCAGCAGAACATCGCTGGAATGTGCCTGGCCCAGGGCCTCCGACCAACAGCACCATCAAGGCACGTTGGCACTTTCTTGCCAGAACTGATCTCCTGGTGTGGGAGGACAGGGGCCACCACCTGCACCCAAAAGTCAATGAGGGACTTCTTTTAACTTGGTAGGATTTGAATTGGTTTTGTAACAGTAGGACTGTTATTAGAGTCACCTACAACAAAAAAGAGAGGTTACCTAGATAATGCCAGAGCCGGCATTCATCCTGGGTTTCCTCATGTGATCAGTTTGAACCGTTTGCTTTCCTTCTCCCACCTGCTCACCAACTTGGGCTTTCACTCTAATTCTCTTGATTTGTATGCCCACATGGAACTCGTTTCATACGGATTGTCATCTTTGGGTTTTCTTGTGAAAACACCGTGAACTTTGTCTTTGCCCTTAGCTGAAAAGTTTCCATAGCTTCTGGTGATACTTTTCATAATTTCATTCTCTTAAAAGGGTCATGGATGTGACACCTCCTAAAAGGGAGGTTTGTTCTGCAGATAAACTCTTATTAAAGAAAATCTCATTTTAGATTTAAAATATTTATGCTAAACTGCTTGAACTTTGTTCATGTTAGTTCTATGCAATTTCATCATGGGTAGATTCATATGACCGTTGCAAGAGACAGTACAGTTCCATCACATAGATTCTTTATGCTGCCCTCATAGAGCCACAGCCAACCCCCTTCCCTAACCTCTGGCAACTATGAATCTGTTCACTATCTCTATAATTTTGTCATTTAAAAAATGTTACATAAGTGGAATCATATAGAATATGACCTTTTGAGATTGACATTTGTCATTTAACACAGTTCCCAGGAAATTCATCCAAGTTGTGGCATGTATTGATACTTTGTTCCTTTTTATTGCTTAGTAATGTTCCATGGTTGTGAATGTACTGAAGTTTAACCTATTCACCCACTGAAGGACATACAGTTTGTTTTCAGTTTGGGGCCCTTCCTAATAAAACTTTTGTGAGCATTTGTGTATAGGTTTTGTATAAACATAAATTTCCATTTCTCTGGGATAAATGCCCCAAAAGGGCAATTGCTGAAAGGTTGTGTGGTAACCATGTTTAGTTTTGTACAAAACCTCCCTATTTTTCCAGAGTGGCTGTACCATTTTACATTTCCACTAGCAGTGTGTTACTGATCCAGTCTCCTCATTCTTACCAGCATTTGGCATTATTACTATTTTTTTTAATATTAGCCATTTGAATAGTATGTGTAATATCACAGTTTTAATTTGCATTTTCCTAATGGTTAATGATGTTGAACATCTTTTCGTGTGTTTGTTTTCTTTTTTTTTTTTTTTCGTGTGTGTGTTTTCCATCTGTATGTCCTTTTCTGTGACATGTGTCTTTTTTCCATTTTCTAATTGGTCGTTTGTTGTTTTTACTATTGAATTTTGAGAATTCCTTATATATCCTAGATACAAGTCCTCCATCAGATATGTAGTTGTTTGGATTTGTAACATAACTTCTACTGAGGAAAAATAAATCACCGCTTCTTTTTTGCATGGCCAGTCACTGACTTCGTTCCCATCCTCATGTGTTCTGTCTAGAGAATTAAGACATGTGAGGTATAAAATAGACATCTAGGAAGGCTATGGAGAGAGTAGATACTTGGAAGTGTATGTGAAAGCAAAGCCAAGAATAACTCGTGGGAGTTGGAGGTGCCTAATAGCCAATACCAATGTAAAAAGAGAAAAGCTGGGGCTGGGCCTGTCACTCAGTGGTAGAGCTCTGTTGTGTAGCATGCACCAAGCCCTGGGTTTGATCTCTTAGCACTACCCCAAAAAATGTGGATAAAAATGACCATGTTCATAAACAGGAAAATAATCACTTGAAGTCTTTCTCACTTCCCCCAGGAAAGTAGGTGTGAGTTTACACTTTTTATAATCTCTTTTTAACCTACTGACTGTTACAGGACTTTTGTAATTGCAGTGACAAGAATTACTGGATCTAGAGCCACATCACTTGCAGTGAAGAAAAAGAATATTGAAAATATCAAAGAACACTATTGTGTTAACCTGGATAAAAAGTACGGAGGTAAAAGAAGAGTAGTTTATGCTATTAAAGTCTCAGGCTGTTCCGTTAATGTTCCAGTTACTGTGAATCCAAAAGCCTTTTTTTCCACCCTTTCACTCCTGTAAATCCCTCTTGTGGAGTAAAAGTGGTTTTCTCATTACTTGTGCAACATTGCCATCTGCTGTTGAGAAGTGATAGGTACTGCTTCTGTGAAGTTGGCAGTAGATTCCTTGCCATAGGCACAGCAGATGTGAAAATCCGTCACATTAATATATATTAAACGACAGAGGATGCATCCAAGTAGGGAAAAGAATAAGCAAACTTGTGTCTTAAGATCCAGGCTGGGAAGTTTCAATGTGAAATCCTAGTCTGTACCATTACTAACATGAGACTCATATTTCTGATTTGTGCCTTCCCCCCTTTTAGAAGCAGTGAAAGCTACTCTGTTAGTTATGGTCTTCTGTGCTGAAAAATGTCAAAGAAGAAAATAGAAGATAATATATTGCTGATGTTTATGTTTTCAATTCTGACTCTAAATTTAAGGAACTGAAATTCTTCTCTGTCCCTTCCTGTTTCTCATGCCAAAAATATCAACTCAGACATTTGTGCTTTTTATGTATAAGTTAATTGATGGTAAACCTTGATTTTTAATCTAAAAAATAGAAGTATTTTCTTTTGATACCAGGCTAATACCAGAGCAAATCAGCTTTAGGAATGTTATCTACCTTCTTCCATTTTTAGTATAGTGCTTAAAATAATCTGTATGAGATAAATGAGAATCATACAATTTAGGTGTGCTTTGTTATATGTCATGAACCCCCATCAAAGCCACTTTTCTTTGTTTAATAGAAAGAAGCATGCAAATTTATACAGGTGCACTTCTAAGTGTTGGATTGGGAATTTTTGTGTAATTTTTCTGAAATAAAGGCCAGCAGAAACCATTTTAGGTGTATTTTTTGTTATTCTTGAGTACCTCTTTGTCTGGATTAGCAACAATTTCTTCATATTACTCAATTTTAAAGTATAGCAAATGATACCTGATGAGTAGAGGAAAATATATTGTCCTTAATTTACTCCAGATGAGTAAATTCCATATGAGCTAGTAAAAGCTTATATTTTTATATATATATATATATATATATATATATATATATATATATATATATATATATATATAAATACTTAGTTACATGTCCTCAGAAAGACCAAATAGGATTCCATAAGACAAGCATTCTCTATAGCTTTTTTGGAAACTGCTATTGGAATTATTCCTCCAGAGAGCCTTCTCCCTTGCCATCTATTCCTAAAACATCCCTCCCAGTTTAGAATCCTTTTGAACTTGCCCATCACATTTATGCAAAAAACTACCCTAGGAAATATAGGCCATTTTCTCCTTTTCACTTAATAGTCTAGGGCCAGGGATTTAGCTCAGTGGTTCCGCCGCCTGCCTCACAAGCACAAGGACCCAAGTTCGATCCCCGGTACCACAAAAAACAAAAACTTAGTAGTCTAACATTTTTCCACAAAGCTTCTTTCTGAGCCAACATGAAGTGCTTTACATATTCACTGGATGGCCTCTTACCTCTATTCTAAAAATAAAAAAATAGAATTTGCTAGTAAATCCATAGTTTACTATGAACAGTGGTTCTTCATATTTGGGTATAAGTATTTTAACATCAAAAATGCTTGTCATTGATTTTATTTTTTCCTGGTACTGGAGACTGAACCCAAGGCCTCATGCATCCTCAGCAAGTGAACTCTGTCCCCAGACTGATGTTTACTTTTAGACAACATAAATAATGAATGAATTCAGCAAAACTTGTTAATGAATTTAATGCTCTTCATGGTAACTTATTCAATTGTCCCCTGTGCTATGGTGTACTAGAGTGGTATCCCATTGTTAGTCACATGTATAATTTTAAAATTTCTAGAACCACATTAAAAAGGTAAAATGAAATACATGAATTTAAATTTTAATAATACAATCCGCTGTGCATTTTACAGCCACAGCAATTCTGCATTCAGAGGAGCCACAATTGAAGTGTTCAGTAACTACATTTAGCTAGTGGGTACTGTAGCAGACAGTGAAAATATAAACTGCCAGCTCTTTGGTATAATCTTTACAGTAACTCAGTAGTCCTGGATAGTTCACTATTCACAATGGAAACTTCTGCAATATAGCCTACTATTCATGCGTTAAAGCATGGAAATAGTTGGGGGGGGGGTGTTTGTTCGATTGGTTGTTTGAGATAGGATCTCATTATGTAGCCCAGGCTGGCCTCAAACTTGCAGCGATCCTCCTGTTTTAGCCTCCCAATTGCTGGGATTACAGCCATGCACCACCACACCTGGTCAGGAATAGTCTGTTTTGACCAAATGTATTTTCAAATCAGTTATACCTTTAAAATAAACATTAAGTATTTCTGGACTTAAGAGTATTCAAGGTCAGATCATTAATTTTAATTATATCCAATACAACAAAGAAGTTGGCATTCAGAAAACTGTTCTCTAAGATGTAGCAGGACATTTTTCTATTAAGCCTATCATATCTAGGCATTGTAACTAGAACAATACACAACTTCAGTCAAATTATAGAAAACTTATCTAGTTTCTCATTGTACAGGAACTGGAAAAATGAATTTTTAAGTTTTAGCTAAAACCTGTTAAGCTTCTCAGAATTAAAGTCAACACTTCTGCTTTTAAGTAATCACTTTTTCCATTCTCTTATCTAAAAAACAAAACAAAAATCCACTGAGCACCTGTTCTGTTTAAGCCAAGCTAAACTCTAAAGTATATCCAGAGTAATAAAAGACTATCTATCCTCAAAGTGCCTTCTAATTAGTAGTAGATGAAATGGCCTCTACCTGGAATGATTGCCCTACTTTGTTTAGCCATCACTGACCTAAAACTGGTGATTTTCCTAGGAATCTTTCATTGGCAAGTTTGGCTTGGAAAGATGATCCTTTTTCCTGAAGTCTTTCTAGAATCTTTTTTTTTTTTTGGTACCAAGAATCGAACTCATGACCTCTCACTTTCAAGGTAAGTGGCAGAACCACTGAGCTAAATCCCAGGCCCTCTTTCTAGAATATTATACTTCAGCAAGGCTTATACAAACTGTTATAATTGCCTGGTTACTTATGTCTACTGTAAGCGACGTGACAGTAGGAACCATATTTATTTTGTGCTCATATCCCAGCACCGGGCACATGTTCGTACTCAGTGTTTGTTAAATGATTTAGTTGAAAATTCAAAAATACCTGTATAAAACCTGGAATATAATCAACAAAATAAAGTTTAACAGTATTTATCAGGCAGTCTTACATTTGAAATTTTTCAAAAATTTTATATACATACAGGAAAATAGACTGATACCATCCTATATTCAACAACCAATTTTTGGCCTCTATTACAATGCCAAGCACTTTTCTAGGCACTAGAAGTGAACAAAAGAGCAAAATCCAGGCTCTCATGAAGCTTATAGTCCAATGAGTCAACAAGCATAGTAAACAAGTCATCAGTATTTTATTGATAAGCATTCTGAAAGAAACAGCATGTGAAAAGGTGGGAGAGCTTATTACTCTGCATTGAATCAAATGTGAAAAAGAGCTAGAGATTTAAGTATGATAATATAAATAGACCTTCACTATGAGTCACAGTATAAGCATATCCTCATTATTTGTTGTTTTTTTGTTTGTTTGTTTTGGTACCAGGGATCAAATTCGGTACCTTGTGCTTGCAAGACAGGTGCCAGAACCACTGAGCTAAATCCCCGGCCCCCTCATTATTTGTTATCATTAATAAAAATACTAGATCCAGATAAAGGAAGACAGAAGTGCTCCTATACTGTCCTGTGAATTGCCAAGAAGCTGGAGGAATATGAACTCACTCTCACACCCCTCATCCTATTCTGCCAATTCTATCTTCCAGAGTTTGCTCTAAGTTAAAATCTTTAAGTGAGTTTCTTCAGCTCCTACATGTGGTATAGACCCCACATCCCAATTAGTCAAAAGTTCTAAAGGTCCCTCAGGAAATTTACAGCAGTGAATACCCACATCAGGAAAACAGAGCAAGCTCAAATAACCTAATTTTGAACCTCAAACTTCTAGAAAAAGAACAAGTCAAGCCAAAGCTCGTATGAGGGAGAAAATTATAAAGATCAGAGCAGAAATTAATGCAATGAAGACTAAGAAAACAATACAAAGAATCAATGAATCGAAGAGTTGGTTCTTTTTTTTTTTTTTGGTACCAGGGATTAAACTCTGGTCCTTGCGCTTGCGCAGCAGGCACCGAAACCACTGAGCTAAATCCCCAGCCCGAGTTGGTTCTTTGAAAGACTAAATAAAATTGACAGACCCTTGGCCAACTTTATCAAAAAGAAGAAAGAAAAGATTCAAATCCATGCAATTAGGAATGAAAAGGGTGAAATCACAACAGATCCTACAGAAATCCAAAAGATCATCAATACCTACTTCGAGAACCTGTGTTTTAATAAGATGGAAAACACAGAAGAAATGGACAGATTCCTAGATACATATGAATTACCAAAGCTGAATCGAGAAATATAAAAATTCTCAATAAACCAATATCAGTCAATGAAATTAAAAATGTAATTAAAAACCTACCAACAAAGAGAAGCCCAGGCCCGCATAGATTCGCTGCTGAATTCTACAAGAAATTTAGAGAAGACCTAATGCCACTACTTGTTAAACTCTTTTGATGAAATTGAAGGAAAGTGATACTCCCAACTTCATTCCTGGAAGCAAGCAATACACTGATAGCAAAACCAGACAAGGATCCAACCAAAAAAGAGAATTACAGGCCAATCTCCCTAATGAACATAGACACAGAAATCTCCAATAAGATACTGGCAAACAATGCAGCAAATCATCAAGAAGGTTATACACCATGACCAAGTTGGATTCATCCTAGGGATGCAGGGATGGTTCAACATATGCAAATCAATAAATGTAATACACTATATTAACAGAACCAAGGACAAAAACTATATGATCCTCTCAACAGATGTAGAAAAAGCTTGACAAGGTCCAATACCCATTCACAAAAACTACAGAAAATTGGTATAGATGGTCTTTATCTGATTCTGATAAAAGTCATCTATGACAAACCAACAGCCAAACATAATACTAAATGGTCAAAAACTGAAAGCTTTTACTTTAAAATCAGGTACAAGACAAGGATGTCCACTGTCACCACTCTTGTTCAATATAGTTCTAGAAACACTAGCCAGAGCAATTAGACAAGAGAAAGAAAAGGAATAAGGATAGGAAAAGAAGTTAAATTATCATTGTTGGGCCGGGGATTTAGCTCAGTGGCCCTGCGCCTGCCTTGCAAGCGCAAGGTCCTGAGTTTGATCCCCGGTACCCACCCACCCCCACCCCCCAAATCAAACTCCTCTTCACTCACTGATGCTATCTCAGTGCTGCCTCAGCATCTCTTCTTAGAATATAAATTGCCTCCCAACTAGTCTCCTTGCTTCCAGTCTCTGTCGTGCACATTGTCATGAGTTGTTTGTAAAATATGACTTGATCTATCTAAGGTGACTAATCGTTTTTCTTTTTAAGGTGACTATATTTTTATTTTAGTATATGTGCTGCCGAAGCGAGCACTGACTGTTTTTATTTGAGGTGGGCATTTGAGCAAAAGATGGTTCTAGTAATTATGCATATGAAAGAAGGCATAAACTGGGACTTCCCTATAAAAATCGGTCGTATAGTCACTAGTCATATAATGTGCTTAAAAATTTCTAACTTTCCATTGCCTACAGGAAACTCAAACCCTGTCAACGTATGAAGTATCTTTTGCTACCTCTCATGCATCCTGGGCTCCTCCCACATGACCTCCATCAAATCCTGGTCTTTTGTGTCTCTGAATCCAGGTTGCTGGGTTTGACCTCCTAGCTCTTCTTAATTTGCTGTGTCACAATAAGCAAGTTAGTCGCTCTGTACCACAGCTTCTGTAAAATGAGAATACAGTAACGTGAAGATCAAGTGCCTTAAAACACGGACAAGCTTTAGCCTGATGCCCAGAACATAACATTCAACAAATGTTAGCTGTTATTCTTGTGATGTAGATCATCTTCCCACAATTTTAGAAATTAAAAGGTTTGAAGATGTGAAGTTGCTCGAGGTCACATAATTGATGAAGCAATATTGTTCACTGTATTGCAATTCTCTTGGTGACTTCCAGGCAGGGAACATCTTACTGCAGATTCTTCCTTCCCCAAAGCAATGTCTAGTGCTCAAAGAATGCTTCATGAGATCAGATGATCAAAGATCTGGGAAAACACATAGAATATTGAATCTGGAAAAAGAGAAGGGAAATAAGTAGAATGTCAGGAGGATTGACTTAAAGTGTTTTTGGAGTTGCAAGAACGAGGGATCTAGGGTGGCCCTAGGAAAAAGAACTGGACCCACTGACTGAGATGACAGGAGCAAGTATTTCAGCTTGCTATAATCACTATAAACATTTATTCGATCCAGAGCGCTAATGTTAGGAGGGACTGCTTCCCCATACACCCTCTTGCCCTAGCCCTGACGCCAAGAGGAGATTGGACGACCTCTGGACCTCAAAGCCCTATGGGGACCTGGCCAGGGATGCAGTATACATATGGGAGCCCTTCAGTTCCACGGGACTCCTACTTGGCGCCGGCCAACCCCAGCCCGAAGCCACACTTTCTCCGCACACCCAGAGGGCTGTAAGCCTTGGAAACTGGACTAAGCAAGTGGGTAAGAGAAGACGGAGGAAACCTTCCTCATTGGACCGGAAATACCGATAACTACTTCCGGGTCCGGGGGCAGAAGCCATCATGGAACCTCTCTGGGTGGCGGGGCTGGCGGAACTTCGGACCAGCATCTGAAGCGAGTGAGCCGCTGAGCAGCCAGTGGCGCCAGGGATACGCAGGCTGTCCTTGGAGAGCCACGGCTGCCGCCATGTCGGTGCTGGGCGAGTACGAGCGACACTGCGATTCCATCAACTCGGACTTTGGGAGCGAGTCCGGGGGTGGCGGGGAGTCGGGCCCGGGGCCCAGCGCCAGTGCGGGGCCGCGAGTCGGCGGCGGCGCGGCGGAGCAAGAGGAGCTGCACTACATCCCCATCCGCGTTCTGGGCCGCGGCGCCTTCGGGGAGGCCACGCTGTACCGCCGCACCGAGGTAGCGGCCCTCGGCCCCGGCCCCGGCCCCTTCTTTTCGGCCCCCTTTTCAGCCCCGACAGTCTCCGGGCTTCCCTAGCTCCTTAATGTTTAGGCGCCCGCGTGGTGTTTGTCTCAGGGTCTCTCCACCATGCGTTCAATTCACCTGCCCTAGTTCACTGATTTCACGAACTGGTCATTTTTTCTTAACCCGGGGAACTGACCAGATCGTTGTCTCTGCGTTTTAGTTTCCTCATCTGTAAAGTGGGCTTAGTGATAACTGCCTTTAAAATATATTTTTTTTCTTAAGGTTCTTTTGAGAATCAAACGAAGGTTTTTTGCAAACTAAATTAAAGTGGTGTACGAAAGTGAGGTATTGCCAAAACTTCCTTCCTGTCGTGTTGTATAGCTCTCCTAGGTCGGGGTGGGGAGGAGGGTTGTGGCTTCAGAAAGCCCGCACTGGTGGCAGCTCTGCTAGTTTTGTCATACCGTTCAAATTCTAAAGTGATCACTCAATTGGAAGTTTTTCTGGAAGCTCATTGGGAAGATCGCCTTGTGTTGGTTTCTTCTTAAGTGTTTATCTTGTAGCGTTTACGCACAGGAAATACTTTATTGGTGTATTCTAAGCCATGTTAACTGTTGAAGGGAATAAGAACCCCTTTTAGGACCCTTCTGGTCCCCATGATAAACAAGAGAATCCCTCCCACACAGATTTGCACATTGGCATATCCTTTTGGAGAGACCCGTGGTTCACCAACCCTCACGTTTAAAAATGTGTACAGATTTGGACCGGGGATTTAGCTCAGTGGTTTCGCCGCCTGCTGCGCAAGCTCAAGGACTCGAGTTCGATCCCCGGAACCAAAAAAAAATGTATACTGATTTGAAACTCTGCAGCAGTGATACAGTTTCTAAAAACTAGATTTAATCACCAGAGTCTTAAAACGCTAGCTTTAGGATAAACATTTAATGAGAACTTGCTGGAGTTGCTGAAGGTGATTCATCTGTCAGTGATCCATATGCAGTTCTGGTATTTGTTCCAAGTTCGCCTATCTTTAAGGCTGAGAGACAAAGAAAAAGAGAGGTGGCTTCAAGAGAATATCTTTATATGTTTTTTTTCCCTAATGCCTTAATGTGCAGTGTTAAGAGTTACTATTATTCTTAGTGGTCTTATTTGCACTCAGAAAGAGATGATATTGGTATTCCTATTTTTCAGAGAAACTAAAGCAGTATACTTACGTGCCCACTTAAAAGTTAGAAGTAAATCTTAAACTATAACCAGAGTTTCACAGCTCGTTGCCCATCTACCTCTCATCATCCGGTTGATCTTGATTACTACTTTTTTGGGTGTTTTTTTTTTTCATTTTTGGTACCGGAATCGAACTCAGCCTTGGGCTTGCTAGGCAGGTGCTGTGCCCCTGAGCCACACGCCCCCACCCTTGATGACTAGTTTTGAGTTAAATTTTATTACACTTCCTTAGAATTGTATAGCGTTGTCTGTATCACCATATTTATTAGATCTGTGATTTACAAAGGTTTAAAAGCAGCCCTTTTCCTCTAGAAGCTTATCTCTCAAGGAAACGACAAATTAGCCATGTTACTAAATAAATAGCATTTCAGTTGTGTATGTGTATAAATGAAAAAAGAATAGACATATCATTTTATTATGAGTACTGAAAATTAAGGCTGTGGTTGCATTAAATAAATGTACAATAAAATGATCATCAAAGTTTTCCCCCAAAGAAGTTTTAAAGGCTTGGGAGAGGCATTCAGAAAGAGGGGGAGAATTATGGGGGGGGGGGGGTGCTCATGGGCCAGGAAGCAGTGTCAGTAAAGAATTAGAGATATCATTAAAGAGAGCAGACATCAGGAGCTGCAGGTAGATTTTCATAAATAGAAGGAAATATGATACATAAGTGACAGGACATTGTAAAGTTGCAAAATGAGATTGACTTATTCATATCCAGAAAGGGCAAATGAAAATCGGTAGAGAAGTTATAAAATTAGAGACAGGTTGACTCTTTCTATTTCACAAGAAGCTGTGGTCAACTCTAGATAACCTGCTGTCCGGTTTTCTACTTCCCCAATACTCTAGCCCTACTGCAGTCCCCTTGCTAATTATCAGACTTGTAGTGTCCTTCAGTAGAATCTTTTAGATCTGCTCCCATCCCATTTTTTAACCTGGCTCTAAAATCGTACAAATTAAATGTAGTAACAAAGTGACAACATCTTAATGCTTTCCTCAGTTTTGCAGTAAATTATAATACTCAAATGTATGCAGAACCTTTAGTTTGTTTAAAGAAAGAAATAATAAGAGTCAATCTTTGCAGTTTTTTTTCTAGGCTGAAGTTTTTTAGGAAGTTTTTTTTCTAGGCTGATAGATGCAGGTGTAGATTCATACACTGCCAGGCGAGAGGAAAGCACAATACCTCTGTTACTGTATGTTGTAGGATGACTCACTGGTTGTGTGGAAGGAAGTTGATTTGACCCGGCTGTCTGAGAAAGAACGTCGTGATGCCTTGAATGAGATTGTTATTCTGGCGCTGCTGCAACATGACAACATTATTGCCTACTACAATCACTTCATGGATAATACCACCCTGCTGATTGAGCTAGAATACTGTAATGGTAAGGGAAATTCAGTGTGACTTCCTCTTTCAAGATATTCTTATGTTCATACTTACCTTGAGGGGAAAAGTACAAGAAAAAGCATATGCAGTGATAAAAACTTTAAGTGGATTTCTAGAGTTTAAGAGGAATAGGTCAGGCAGGCCTTGGAGAGTTTGGAAATGATCTCCAAAATAAAGGGAGGAATTTTCCTCTGCATATGAAATTTTTCCTTGTGATTATAGTTCCATCTTCAAATCATTTTTTCAGTTAGATTTATTTTTCAGGACTTTTCCTTGTGAAATAACATTGGTTATCCATTAAAGACATAGTATGGCTTAGAACCTCTTGATATCCTATTTAATGAACTCTTACAGGTAATATTTATTTATTCTGACTTTAGCTAAAGCTATCCTATGGAAAAATGGCCCAGAGATCCAATTGGATGAAAGTGATAGTAAAGTGTGGCCTTATTTGTTTTTTAGTTTTTTTGAGGTTTTGTTTTTGGTTTGAGACACCATCTCACTATGTACTTGAAGATGGCTTTGAACTCACTATATGGCCCAGCCTGGCCTTGAACTTGGGGCAATCCTCCTGCCTCCACCTCTCAGGTGCTGAGATTACAGGTATGCACCATCACTCCCAGCCAAGTATGGCCTTATTTTATCTGATCTCTGATTTCTTTGGAACATTTTACTAGTAGTACTGCCTAGTTGTTAAGAGAATAGACTGAACCCTCATTCCAAGTTCTACTTTCTAGCTCTATAACCTTGAGCAAGTAACTTAAGTTCTCTGTACCTTGGTTTCCTCATCCTAAAAAAGTTCGTTGATTATAGTACTTGACTTCTAGGATTGTATGAAATTAATTTTGAAAGCCATAGTATAGGACTTGGTATGTAGCAAGTGTTTGATACATACTATACTAGCTGTTATCTTTATTGTAGAGAAGACCTCCCAAACCCTTTTGTGAACTGCATGCTAAAGAGGTACTAACATATTATTCACTTATTAACTTTCTTGTCTAGGTTCTTGTGTTTCATAATTCTGATCAACGCTGAATAATTAAGGTTGTATTAGAAATTTTTGAAAGATTGAAAAGCCTTAGGTAGTTAACTTCCTTTGTGGTTAGAAGGAACTAGAACAAATGATACATTTATTGAAACTATGAGTTACTAAATTGCAGGGGAAGAGAAGTACAAACTTAGGTCTAAAGTGTAAATTGTAGCGTTGGTAGGAAGTAAGATGAATCATGGTCATTTGCTATCTGTATTTGATAAAGAAAAGAGAAAAGCAAATTCACAGGAAGAAATTAATAAAGGGGTAATAATTGGACATAATCTAGGGGCGCGCCCTAAATTTTTAGAAACTCAGTGTGTAAAGAAAAAGTTATTGATATATACCCTATATATATAAAATGTTGCCTCACAGGTGTAATTTAAATGTTGTGGTAGTCACATTGGGAGAGCTGTTATAAAAGTATTACATGTTGTTTGAAAGAGAGTTCTAGAAAAGGAAGCTCTTTGAAGCTGTTTCACTAGTTGGGTTACTACAGAAATGACCTTTACTCTCATCTTTCCTAAAAATGTCATACTTCCAGTTTTGAATTGAGCCTTTTGAGTTAGGGAAAGGAATTTTCTGAAGAATATTTCTAGGCAGGTGCTGGAACCACTGAGCTTTTTTGGGGGGGGGGGGTACTGGGGATCAAACTCAGGACCTTGTGCTTTCAAGGCAGGCGCCGGAACCACTGAGCTAAATCCCTGGCCCCAGAAATCTTTGTGGGTTTTTTGGGGTTTCTTTTTGGTACTGGGGATCGAACTCGGGACCTTGTGCTTTCAAGGCAGGCGGCAGAACCACTGAGCTAAATCCCCAGCCCTCTGAAGAATATTTCTGATAGTCCTTGAGAGATAGGAAGATTTTTGTTCCCATTTGAAAACTCAAGCAGGAAGAAGTCATTTCCTTTGGAAAGCAGAATCTTTAATTTCATCATGTCACCTGTTAATATCCTATTAGATGAAAAGCCAATCTTTGATCTCTGTTAAGCAATTCAAACCTGTTTGTTGTTTAATTGCAGGAGGGAACCTGTATGACAAAATCCTTCGTCAGAAGGACAAGTTGTTTGAGGAAGAGGTAATTCATATGTCTGTGGAAAGAAGCTAGAATTATAGGGTTATAATTCTTTATTTTTTAATTTTATTTTGGGAGGTTTTTGTTGTTGTTGTTGTTGTTTGTTTGTTTGTTTTCAGACAGGGTCTTGCTGTGTAGCTCGGGCTGGCCTTGAACTCACTATATAACCCAAGCTGCCCTAAATGCCAGTGGCCAATCCTCTTGTCTCAGCCTCCAGAGTGCTGGGGTTATAGGCGTGCACCACCACACCTAGCATAAAGTTGTAATTCTTGAACTCTGGTTCTATATTTTATTCTCCCAACTATGAAGAGTGTTTGGGTTTTTTTTAGTTTTTTTGTTTTTGGTACTGGGGATCGAGAGTGTTTGGGTTTTTATTTTTTCCTTTTGTTCAGAATCCTTCCAGGCTCTGATTAATATTCATGAGAGAGAAAACCTCTAACAAGGAAGCTGTCTATAGCTGCTTCCTAAATGTTTTACCTCGACATCATGATTCACTATGGCTTTCTTTCCTGATTCTGTTACTGCATACTAGTACTCCCAATTTGCTATACCTTTGCATTCTTCCTCGGTTTCTCTCCATAAGTCTGCTTCAGAATACTTTTATGTTTTTAATCACACTGGAACTATTGTATAATGACCTTTTTCTTTTTACCCCTCCCACTTTTCTTTGCCTGCTCAACCTCCAAGCAAGAGATGTCAAGTCATGTTGAATCATAACCTCTGGTTGTAGTTCCTTTGTGTGTGTGTGTGTGTGTGTGTGTGTGTGTGTGTGTATTTAAATGGAGTTTTTTTTTGCAGTCCAATATAATGTATTTTGTCTCTGCAGATGGTGGTGTGGTACCTTTTTCAAATTGTTTCAGCAGTGAGTTGCATCCATAAAGCTGGAATCTTGCATAGGTAATGACTGAAAAAAATGTATGGGCTAGATTCCTCCCTCCCAGTCCATTCCCCATCCTGGCTGCCTCCTATCATTGCTTTCATTTTCTTCACTAAGCAATCAGGGTTTTCCATGGATATAATTAGAACAGGAAAGAATGAGGAATGAAGGATGTTATATACACAATCTGAAGTTAAACCATGTTTGTGAACTAGAAAGGATTCTCTTGGTACGTAAGTACCACTCAGTCATTTCTTTTAAAGATGTCTTAGAGAGTAGTAGATTAATGCATCAGCGAAGCCCAGAAGGTGCTATGAGAAGTAATATTAGTTTGGCTAGAATTCATAGTAAATGATTTCTCAGCTCAATAATAATTGTCAATTATTATCATTCTATAATTTAAGTTTTTAATTTATTTATTTTTTTCTTTTTCTTTTTTTTTTGGTACTGGGGATCAGACTTGGGTCCTTGCGCTTGCCAGGCAAGCGGCGGAACCACTGAGCTAAATCCCCGGCCCTAAGTTTTTAATTTAAGTAAAAGCCTATGCATTTTGTACAGTCAGTTGTACAATTTTACCAAATCTTCATTTGATAAGAACAGGAGAGAGAGATTCCCCTTCGTTTCAAGCTATAAAGAGAAACCATTCATTGTAAGAACATTTCCACATCATTGTCCTTTGCTTAAAATAGTAAGCTGCATGTGGTGGTGCACATCTGTAATCCCAACACTTAGGAGGCTGAGACAGGAAGATCACTGAATTTGAGGCCAGCCTGGACTACATAATGAATTCAAGGCCAGCCTGAACTATGTAGTGAGACCCTGTCTCTAAAAAAGTCATTGATCATTGCCAGCAATTAATTAAAATACACTAGTTTCTTTGTTTGTTTATTCATTTAGTTAACACTTATTTCTTGGCCAGGGATGTAGCTCAGTGGCACCGCACCTGCCTGGCAAGAGGGAGGTCCTGAGTTTGATCCCTGGTACCAAAAAAAACCCACTTATTTCTTTGGGTTTTTTTGGAACTGACAATCAAACTCACATCCCACTTCTTTCTTTTTTTTTTTTTTGTACCAGGGATTGAACTCAGGACCTTGTGCTTGCAAGGCAGGCACTGGAACCACTGAGCTAGATTCCCGGCATCCCACTTATTTCTTAATAGCTAATGGATAGCTACTGCTGCATGTTGCTATTTTCTTTTTAAAAGTAACAAAATATATTATTCTGGTTTATTCAGTTTATTCAAAAAAGAAAGATTATAAACCAGACACAAATTTTATTTTACATATGGTCAATTCATCATTGTTTTATTAGTTTTTGTTTTTGTTTTTTTTTAAGACAGGGTCTCACTGTGTAGCTCAGGCTGTCCTTGAACTTGCAACAATCTTCCTGCCTCAGCCTCCTGAGTGCTGGGATTAAGGGATGTACCACACCACTTAGCTTTCTTTTCAAGAAAAATAGCCCGTGACTTCATTTAGATGGTGCACAACAGCCTTGTTGTTGCTGAGACATGCAGCCCCTTCTTCTGTCTTAACAGAATATTTGTAACTTTTCACCAACCGGGTGTTAAATTGCCTTGTTATCGTAATTGAAGGCCTAAGTAGTAGTGGGAAAAACAGTATGTTTTATAGGAAATAGGGTTGTCTGCCTCCTTGTTTTTCTCATCCAACTGTCTAAGCTTTGTCTAATGTCAGTGCTGTAGGAGCCCTAGAGCATGAAGTTCATTTTCTGCCTTTACTCCTTAAATACCCTCCTTAAGTACCTACTAAAATGTGTGTGAAAGGGGTGACCACTATATGAGACATTTATTTGGGACCCCGTAACAGATCTGAGCAGTAACAATAAACTCATTTTTATTCTGTACTAATCCTGGTCAGTGTGGGGGATAAGATAAAACAATGATCTATGTGGACTAAACATGCAATATATTTTTTTCAGAGATATAAAGACATTAAATATTTTTCTGACCAAGGCAAACTTGATAAAACTTGGAGATTATGGTCTAGCAAAGAAACTTAATTCTGAGTATTCCATGGCTGAGACGGTGAGTATAGGTTGCCCTTAATTTTTGTTCTTTTCCAGTACTGTGAAATATAACTATACTGCCTAAATTTTGCTTCCTTTTCCCAAAATTCTTGAAGTTCTCCATACTGATAATGTAAATCATCTTTTTTCTTGAATTCAGTAGTAGGCTTTTAAGGGATCATCAGATGTTCTTTAGAGAGTCATCCATATTATACCTCTGATCTCAGCCCAGTCCAACACTGATTAAGACTTTTATAACGGGGCGTAGTGGTACACACCTGTTATCCCAGCACTCAGAAGGCTGAGGCAGGAAGATTGCTGCCAGTTTGAGGCCATCCTGAGCTACATAGTGAGTTTGAGGCTGGCCTGAACTACATAGCAAGACCCTGTCTCAAAAAACCAAAAAAAAAAAAAAAAAAAAATTATCTAAAGGCAACAAATTTTTTGCCTGTTTATTTTTTTATTTTTTAGTTTTTTTAGTTTTTTTTGAGACAGGTTCTTACTGTGTACTCCAGGCTGGCCTTGAACTCATTAAGTAGCCCAGGCTGACCTCGAACATGCGGTGATCCTCCTGCCTCAGACTCCCAAGTGCTGGGATTACAGGCATTCGCCACCATGCTTGGCTTTTGCCTGTTTTTTCCAGTCTAAAATCAGTATTCCACCTTATGTCTATCTAATGTTTAAACCCAAAGTGTTGAACATTTCTGTTTCTCGTTTGTTTGAAACAGGGTCTCACCATGTATTTCAGGCCGTCCTTGAACTCTATGTAGTCTAGGCTGGCCTCCAGCTCACTGATATCCTCTTGCCTCAACCTTCCGAGTACTGAGACTACAGGCATTTACCACCATGCCTGACTTTTGTGTTTCCTTTGAATGTTACAAGCAAAGGCTAATATCAAGAGAACAGTCCGTTCTTTAATGTCATACATAGTCTGAACTAGAGGGCTCCCTTCTTATCTGATTTTGAGAAAGGCTCTTGATTAGGACAGTGATTTTTATCATTTTTGGAATTATAAAATCCAATTGTTACTCTTCTGGTTTTATAATCCTGCAGCCTTAAAAGAACTTGGAAATGTAAGTTAATAAAATTAATTTTGTTCTGGTATTTTTTATAATGGCCAGATAATGCCTGAAAGTGACTTAGACATCCAGCATTGAGAGTCTGTTTCCAAGACTCAGTTGTATGTATCATAGTGGCCAAATTGAGCTAAGGAAGCAATTACATCCTTACATGGATTTTTCTCATCAACAACCATCTTGATAAAATAAACTTTTGATAAACTTAATAAAATTGACCTTTTTGTAACCAATTTAATACACTGAAAGAATGATATGAAAATTTATAAATGCCATGTAAGGTATGTGAAAATTTCTTTGTTTTGCTAATTGAAGATGACTATCAGTCTTACTGGAACTGCTGGGGAATTCATTGTCTCAAAATCTTGGGAGAGGTATGACTTCTATATAGAACATTTTTATTTCCAAATCTATTCTTAAAGTCTAAAAGTCTTTTCAAATTCCAAAGAAATTCAGTAGTTAGTATCACAAATGTCAAATTGGCCCATTTTAAAAGTTTCATTACTGTACTGTGCATTTCAGCCAAGCATTCTTTTTTTTTTTTGGTACCAGGGATTAAACTCAGGACCTTGTGCTTGCAAGGCAGGTGGCAGAACCACTGAGCTAAATCCATGGCCCTGTACTGTGCATTTACATTTAACTCCTTTATTTAGTTACTATCTCTGCACTGACAGGGTTTAGCTCTTTCCTATTGGTGAACTTTTACTAAATAGCTCAGTGGCGTCGCACCTGCCTGGGAAGCACAAGATCCTGAGTTCAATCCCCAGTACCGACCAAAAAAAAAAAAAGCAAGCGAGAGAGAAGAAACTAAGTAGGTCTCTTATTTGTGTGAAATCTTTAGTAAGCTTTGAATGCCTGAAGCCTGTGTGAACCAGAAATCACAGCTGTTGGGCCTTGAACCTAACCACAGTGCCTTTACCACAGATTGTCCTTTTATAATTGGCCCACAAGATTTGATATGAATAAAATTTCTTCCCAGTGGTATCCATAAAACCATTTTGAGATCTGCTGATGAATGTTTTCTGATTGTTATATCTATGCTTCCTGGGAAATTTCTTTTAGCTGTTGAAATGTTGATATAGTTACCTCGAAAATAAGTTATTCTTTGTTTTCTTTGTTGTTCAGCTTGTGGGAACCCCATATTACATGTCTCCAGAGCTCTGCCAAGGAGTAAAATACAATTTCAAGTCTGATATCTGGGCAGTAGGCTGTGTCATTTTTGAACTGCTTACGCTAAAGAGAACATTTGATGCTACCGTAAGTTGATGTGTTACCCCACATTGTCTTGTAAATGGTATCGGTTGGTGAAGTGAATCAACTGCATTTATCCCTCACCTTCTCCTTTCTTGAACAGAAATCAGCTGTAGTCAAAAATAACCTGTAGTTAGACACTGAATTAGTAGTGTATCATTAAAATGTTACAGACCAGATTTATCCCTAAGTGGAATTCCCCATTGAAATGACCATAATCAAACAGTTTTAGCACTGTATTTTAATTTGTTGACTGTAATTTCAAAACTGACTCTAGGGTCAACTGTGCAATGTTGCAATTTTGGGAAAGCCATTTCACTTCTTATGCTTCAACTACATCTTTACATGTTTTTTTTCTTTTTTGGTACTGGGGATTAAACTCGGATCCTTGCGCTTGCAAGGCAGGCAGCAGAACCACTGAGCTAAATCCCCGGCCCTACATCTTTTTTTTTTTTAAGTTGAGACAAATTATATACTACTCATTAAAGTGTTTTGATCTTTTTTAAATGAAAAATCAGTCACACACTTGACTCTTACTAAAGATTGTTATGTTTTATGGACAAACAAATCCCTTAAAGTCTCTTCCATATGTATGTGTGTCTGTATGGTGACTGATTTAAAGCATTGCTTCTCAAACTTGAATATGCATGCTTGTACAGAAATTGCCTAGGCATTCTGTTAAAATGTAGATTCTATTTCAGAGATATATGGTGCAGTGCCAGTCCAGTAGTCTGCATTTCTAACAAGCTCCCAGACATACTGGTACTGTTGCCCCCAGGGCCACAGTTTGAGTAGCTCAAGGAACCCATGTCCACTCCTTCAGCCAGTGAGAGAATTTATGCACATCATTTCTTTGATGTGCATAGCATTACCTCTAACATGGAAACAATATATATCTCCCAAATAATATGTTTCTCCCTCACAGAGGTGTTCTGATATTGTATATTAAAAATGCAAATGTAAGATGATGCAAACTCATTGACCTTTGGTAAGACCTATTTATTTTTCTAAATTCTGAAGTTTGTTCTGCTATATCATCTAATTCTCCTAAATAATTTAGTTGAAGAAAATTGACTGTTGGAATCAGACTTTGGGTGGATGATTTTGAGCATGTTATTTTACATATCTGAGCCCCAGTTTTCTTCTGAACAAACTAACAATGATAACATCTTTGTATTGTATGGATGAAAAAGATCATCTGTCTGTTTTGTAATGGTTTCTTAATAAGGTGATGGTGGTAGTAGTAGTAGTAGTAGTATAATATTATCATCCAGTTATTATAAGATGCCTTGTCTGTTGTATTATTTAGTGTATTGCCTGTTCAGCACTTAGGATATATACATAAGGGGGCAAATCAATTAGCAAGGGAGTTACTTGGAGTCAAGAAGCCTAACTAATCATGCTTTCCTTTTTCTTAGATTCATTTGAAGGATCAGATTATAATATATCCTGAACAATCTATTATTGGTCACACAGTGGTAGTTTTTATCTCCATGTTGGCCAGTGAGCCTCATTCTATCTGATAACAGCAGTGCCTCCCCAGCTATTTCTTGGTGATGCATACTAATAGTGATAACATTAAACCAGACCTAGTGCAGAACTATTGATAGTTGTTTAAATAACGGTCACAGACATCTCTGAGCTCCAACTGGTAGATTATGTCATCTTTATATAACCAGGAACAATGCAATCATCATTTTCTCATAGAATCCACTCAACCTGTGTGTGAAGATCGTGCAGGGAATCCGGGCCATGGAAGTTGATTCTAGCCAATACTCTTTGGAGTTGATCCAGATGGTTCATGAGTGCCTTGACCAGGTAGGTATGACTGAATTGATTTCAGTTTCATGTTTTTTCCTTCCATCCTCCTTGTTTGGGATAAACCACACAGAATCATGTCTACCTCCCCAGGTATTTGTGGCTCTATCCAGAATAGACATTGGAAATTTATAGTAGTTTTGTGCTTCAGCAGACATATTCTTTCTTAATTCTGTTTTGTAAATATTTGTGAAATGGTTTTGCCATCTAAATTGTGTTCCTTTTTTATAGTTAAGGTTAGTTTATATAAATTGATTTTATAAAACTGCAGTCAGAGATAAAGTTCCTAGTGTGCAAAATGTATATAATCCTAATATCTGACAATTCTTTTACTGTGTAGAGAGTTTTAATATTATCCAAAGTATGGTCCAAGAACCATTAGCATCAGAATCACCAAGGAATAAAAGAGTTTTATAAGTAAAAAAGATTCCTGGGCTTTAACCCAGAACAACAGAATCTGTGGATAAAGCCCTAAAATCTTTACTTGTAATAAGCACCCCAGGTGATTGTTCTGTGCTATCTGTATTGAGGTTTGAGAGCTATTGTCCTCATTGAACAAATAAGGAAGATACAATGTAAATGTCCTCATTCTTTTTTTTTTCGTACCAGGGATTGAACTCGGGTCCTTGCGTTTGCAAAGCAGGCGCCGGAACCACTGAGCTACATCCCCAGCCCAGTGTCCTCATTCTTATACAGTATTGATGATAATGAAAGAGTATAGGCATTAAATATGGAAATAGGACATAAGGAATTAAATTTTTGAAACAAAAGGATAGTAGACAGTGGTCTTTGACTAATTAACCTACATCTTTCTAAGAGGAAGTAAAATTCTTTATTAGAACCTAAATTGCTTATTTCCTTTAAATGAAAACTAACCTATTTTATTTTTTAGAATCCTGAGCAGAGACCCACTGCAGATGAACTCTTAGATCGCCCCCTTCTCAGGAAACGCAGGAGGTAAAGTATAAAGGTCATTTCATTGTCTTTCTAGAGATGATTGACTGTTAGAGACCTGATGAGAATATGACAAGAAAAAGTGGTATAGGCTGGGCTTGGTGGCACACACCTGTAATCCCAGCACTTGGAAGGCAGAGGCAGGAGGATCTTCACATGTTCATGGCCAGCCTGGACTACATAGGGAGACCCTATCTCCCCTGCCCCCCAAAAAAGAAAGAATAGTGCTTCCTAAGTTGGCCACTCTGATTCTGTTTTGTTTTGTTTTGTTTTGTTTTTCCCCCATTAAGTTTATTGGTACATTTTAGGTATAAAATACAGTTACATTCATCATTGGGATCTTGTACCATTA